ATCCAGGATTGGAAAATAATTTCTGTTTCCAGACCTAATTATAACTTGTTGAGCTTTTCATAACACAGCAGAGTATCCCAAATTTTCTTCCCAGCCCAAATTCACAAATCACTTTTATTTAATTAATTGGTTAGACCATGGGCTGATGACATACCATTATTAGATTCAGGACCCTTCTTTGGGGTTCTGTAGCTACATGAATGGCTAGCCCTGACCATCTTTCTTTAACTGGATACCTATAGAACACTAAGGGCATTGTTAAGAGAATTGTAATATGTTTGTTCAGTGCCTTACCTCTATTGGAAAATTGACTCAAAAGTGAATATTCTGTAATTTGTGTCACTACAATCATCTTTATAATCAATTACTAAGAATTCTTATATTTTTATTGCTATATTTGGAGATACTTATTTGTATAAGTAGTAATGTTTTTAAAAACTGAACAGGAGACTATCTGAACTTCTTATACTCTTAATTTGAATAGCAAATTCTAAAATGATTTCTATAAAAATTCTTTTGAAATTTCTATTCTAGAAAGTAAAAGTATAATAAAATTTAGAAAATTCTAGTATGCGCTTCAGAAAGCAGATCTCATTTAAGTGAAATGGAGTGCATATTCATTATGGAGTTCCACCATTAATTACCCAGAATCTTTAAATTCTGGGTACTGTTTTTCCATTGTAGTGAAGGAAGGAAAATGGATCTCCCACAACACCAAATAACTCTTTAATCAAAAAATGCAAATGCAAAGTAAATACTTTGTGGACTTTTGGTTATCAACACCTGATGTTTACTATGCTACAAATATATTTTAAGGTGGGGGAAAGATTAATCCCATGAGAAAATTGATGCAGCTATAGTTAGAATTGTCTCATAACAATAAATTCCTAACTTTTTGAAATAATTAAAGGTTTTTCTTCATAAGCATTCAGGTTAGCTTTAGTTCCTTATCTCTAAAAGGTACAGGCAGAACTGCAAAAATGTACTTATTGTACAAATAAAGTAACAGTAATTGCCTCACCAACCTTCTGGGGACCTGGTCATAACTGATGTCATTTTTGTCCACTTTTTCATGTGAGTTGTTCCTTCATCTTTAAAGCTATCTGATGCAGTCAGTGAGAAAGTATTTCTCACTACAAAACTTATCTCTTAAGAGGATCCTTGAAAAAGGAATTTTTACTGTTAGCTTTTCTAGACACCACTGTGTGTAGTACTAGTCAAGAAATGTGTGGGTCACTTTTTGACCCACACATTTAGGTTCAAATTAACAACCCTTGGTAGCAACAGCATCAGAGCAAGTATCAGGCTCTTGTATTTTTCAGATCTAAACAAATCTTTAGAAATAGTTTCCCTTTTATTCATTTATAATAAGCCCAAATATTTATTGTCAATAAAATTAGCTAAATGAATTGTGGCAAAGAAATATAGTATAATACTATGCAGCTGTGAAAATGAATGAACACAACTACATGCTTCCACATGAAAGACGACAAAAATACATTGAATGTAAGAAAAGCTTCCCCTCTTTAGACAGCGTATTCATTTTACAGTGATGAAAGGATTTATGTAAATTAATTTTCCATCCCTTTATTGGATGTTTCTAGAAGGAGAAAAAATCATGGTACTTTAAAATAGCACTATTGAAAATCAGAAGGCAAAAGTATGGTTGAGTCTATTTCACTAAGTTAAAATAAAAGGAACCTGATTGGAGCATCAACTAACTTTCCACCACATCACATCTCTCAGTTCCTACATATTCCCTCTCCCTGAAAATAAAAAAAAAAAGGTTCTGTTTTGTTTTTTGAGATAGGGTCTTACTATATAGCCCAGGCTGTTCTAGAACTTGCCTCAGTCTCCAGAGTGCTGGGCTTACAAGCTTGTACCACCATGCCCTCCTCAAAAATTTTTGTATAACTATCGACTCAGTAGATGCTTTCTTTTTTAATTGTTGCTCTAGGTAGTTTTCCATCTTTCATAACTGAGTCATTGTGATTCAAACTCATGAGAAAAAAAAGTTAAAATGTAAGGAACATTTTTGTTATTTTTTTAAAAAGCAAGGTTATTTATCTGTTAAACTGAGTAAGAGACTTTTTTTCTTCTAAAAAACTTTGGGAAAATTTCAACATAGTTTATAAAGAGACTTAGTAGCTTGGTTTTCATTAACACAATAACAAATATATGTAAATATTGGCAGGCCTGTAAACCTCCAAACAGTTTTTGTGATATAAGAAACTAGTATTTAACCATTAGTGCTGCCATCATAATTTCATTAGCGTGGCTTCTTTACACGCTTTCTCCAGTGACGCAAATACAGACGTGATTTTTTGGAACATCGGACTTATGGCTGCCTTCTCGCTTCTTCATTACTTATGTTGGACAAACTGTGATTATCACTTGCCAAAAAAAATCCCACAGTTCAGTAGACTTCAGTTTTGAGGTCTGCTATGTCCTCCTTAGACCACCAGTAGCTTTGTCTCTTGGTGATTAGAAATTGGACACTTCTTTTTGATGTTTAACAAACCAGGCTCTGTTACTTGACGTCTAAAGAAGAATGTAACAAAACAACAAATTTTCTAAGCAACATCACTGGAAATATAACAGCAAATCCCTTTGGAATGTATGTTTTGGAGTACTGTAAAATTATTCTTTTTTATCAAGCTTTATGAGATTTGTATTAAGATGTAATAATAAGTCTCTGATGGGGTACAATATGAGAAGTTGTAAGTATTTTCTTTTACCTATATCAAAATTAGAAATGACTAAAGTTACAAGGTTAAAACCAAAAACCCAGACTAAAATACATAGTTTATTTAATTCTACCAACATCCCTGTTCTTCATTCCTGCTTGTCCACTCATCACCTCTTCTCACATCTATGCTGTATACACTTTCTTTGTATACTTTAGGAAACATTTTTTTTTCAGCCTCATTTCTATCCTTTCTGTTTTGGGAGCTTTGTAACTTATTTGTATAACCTTTCCAATGATATCCTGTGGATTATGCTAATGTATTATAAATAAATCACATAGTAGAGTTTGTAGAAAGACCTTATACCACAAACCATAGTTAATTGAAGCTGAGAGGGATTTTTGTTTGTTTTGTTTTTGTTTTCGCTTTTTTTTTGTTGTTTAATAAATACAATATAACTCTACTCCTTTTCCCTTTTATTCTTAGCATTTCAGTGTTGGGTGTTTGTTTGTTTCTTTAATAAAGTGTTACGAACTCCTAACTTCCCTTCTGTTATCCTAAATAGTGGAATGAATGGCTTTTAATTAAATTCCTTGTCATTTAAGCAGTCAGTTTTCTGCTCTTTATTGTTAAAAATAAATTAATTTTAAATAATTTTTGTTTTAAAATAAATACATTTTGTTTTAAAACCTATTTTGCCTAAGTCTTAGTTCAAGTTATATTTTAAAAATAGTGCTACTTTTAATCTCTCACTCATTCTAATACAAATGTAAGAGTACATTAGTATTGGATGGGCTTTTTTGTTTTTTAATCTTTCATTTATCTTTAAACTTTATAAGTTACCAAGGGCTTTGAGTCTTACCTCCTACCTTCTTTAGCTTCCAAATTTATAATAATTTGGGGCTGGTGAAATGGTTCATGTGGTAAAAGCACCTGCCAAGCAAGTATGAGGCCTGAGTTCAAACCCCAGTGCACCAAAATGACCAAACAAACAAACAAACAAAATCACAACCAAATTTACAATAATTTGCTTTTCAGAATACCTTAAAGTTGCCTTTTGGAACAATGGTTGTTTCAGGGGTTTGATTTTGAGGAGAATTCTAGGTTTATGTTCATCTATTTAATACTTAGAATGCATTTAAGTATACATTTTTACCTGAATAATACTAGATTAAAATTACAAATTCATGCTATACAACACAACAGTTATGAAGATAAGCATGTAAGTGGGCCTATAAATGACTGCCTTACCTTTGCTGCATCTCCTGAGGGACACCTTCTGAATGACCAGCCCATAAACTTTAGGGAAAGGCTTCACTTCTCCAGCCTCACTTAACCTAGCTGGCTGGACAAGGGCACATGGACCCTTTCTTCTCTGCAGCCCAAATAAGTGATTAGGACTCTTCCTACTACTGTCTTTACTGGGCAATTTTTTTTAAGTAAAGAAGAATTACATTTTTGAAATAAAATCTTCTGAACTTGAAGAGGTTTGCTGGGCTGTCATCAAATAACACATTCGCTTTTTAAGATGATTTAATCAAGACCCTCAAATGTAGCATATCAGATTACTGTTTACTCATCCTTGGAGATGAGAAGAGCAGGAGTTGACAGAGATTTGGTTTCATCTTTTCACCTTAGAGTTTTACTAAGTTAGCTTTCAATGAGGTTGATTGATTTATTGAATCAGTTCCCTTTTCAAGTAAATTTTTATTTATGATGTATCCTTTTCTTATTGCTTTGATGTTCTTAACCTGAATGCTGAAATTCACATATTCTGAATGCAACTTCTACACTTCTACGGTTGTCACTGCTTCATGTTTGTATTGGGATCGGGAAGGTATGTAATGTGCAGCACAAGAGTCCTTGAATTCTATATGCCTAAGGTTTCCACAAGGAATTGGACCATTTACTTATTAAAAGAGCATTAACATGGATATATGTTATGTTGAAAAGTTCTGAAATCTTTATTTAAAGACATTTATTCATGTAGTTAAATATGCATTGTATCACTTCAGCTAAAGTTTTAATCATTTGACTGACCAATGTTTTCTTTTGATAATATGAATGAGAATAAGATCTCTGCTTCCTATATAGCAGAATTAGTAAGCTTAAACAATTTAATTTGGGCTTATGTGGTATTAGCACTCTTTCCATTAAATCAATATAAAATGCATACCATATTACATTATTCAAGTGCTTTGCATATGCTAGTAAAAGCAAAATAAGAACTCTATTAAATAATGAGGCATCTAAAGGTCTTCTTTCAGGTGGTATGTGGAAACAATAAAGGAGTATCTTGTGTCTTTTGCTTAGGGTGTTCCAGTGATGGCAATAAGAAACAAAATGATATCAGAAGGACTAGATCCAGATCTTCTTGAGTAAGTAATTCTTCTAATATAATGATGTTACTTCCAAGATATTGAATATGTCAATTATAACAACAATATTTCAAGGGCTCTCTCTAGTTTTTTCCTATATAGTGTTTAATAGTTGAAAAAATCATTTTCATAAATAGTGCCTTTGCTGTGTCAGTAAGGAATGAAGGAGGGAGGAAGGGAGAAAAGGAAAGGAAGGAAAAATATTCTAGGCTACCTGCTTTTGTACATTTCAGGAGCACTTTCGGTAGTTAAATGATGAATCTAGGTATCCAAAGGAACCAGAATTTGATGACAGGGTTCTTTTTTTTTCCTAGGGGCGAGGGTTGTTTTTATCCACCAGCTTTTCATTTAAGAATTTTGTGTATATCAGGCACAGTGGCTCATGCCTATAATCCCAGATGCTTGGGAGGTAGATAATGGGAGAATCATGGATCAAGGCCATCCTTGGGCAAAAAAAAAAACTAAAGAAAAAAGGGGACTGGGAGCATAACCAGGTAGTAAAGTTCCTCCCTAATAAGCATGAGACCCTGAGTTCAAACCATAGTACTGCCAAAAAATTTTATAGTATATAGGAAATTTATTCTGCCGTGATATACATTAAACTACATTGAGAAATAAATAGGGTAAAAAGTTGCCATAGATCCACATTAATACTTGTTTATGACACTAAATACTAGTTTGTATGAGTTTTTTTTTTTTTTTTCGTGGTGATGGGGTTTAAACTCAAGACCTTGTATTTGCTAGGTGGACACTTTACCACTTGAGACACCCCCAGCCCTTTTTGCTTCTGGAAATACACAATAGGCCATCTGAGAGCTAAAATAACCTTTAAAATGATGTTTCTCTTTAGAAAAAATGTAGAAAATGGAAAGCCAGTGCTGCTTAGCATCCTCGTGTGTTAGGTATCCAATCCCTTTACCTGCTACTGTTTTCTTTTTAGTTTATTTTTTACTATCATATTATTGTTGTACTGGGGGTACACTGTGACATTTACAAAAGTTCTTATAATATATCATAGTTGAATTCACCCCCTCCATCTTTCTTCTTTGTCTCCCCCTCCCCCCATTCCTGGAATAGTTTCAACAAGTCTCATTTTCCATTTTCATACATGAGTGCACAATATCCCCCACCCAGCCTAAGCCAACTTCATAATCCTTTAATTCATCTAGCTATTCACATTAGCAGTTTGAAAAGCACCTTTGATTCTACCCCTTCCCTGTCCCCTACTATGTCAGTCACTGATTTTCTCATTTTTTAATATGTCTCATATCTGACTACATGCCTCTATACCCATTACTGTTAGTTCCAACTCTCATCATTTCTCACCTGAAATATTACAGTAGCTCCTGATTTGTTTTCTGTTCTCTTTCAAGTCATCCATTAAAGCCTGAGAGGATCTGTTTATGAACATTCTTTTCTGTTTGTGTTCCTTCTTGCTTCAGATCATCTGTGACCCTATACTACCTTTAGCATGTGGTGTAATATCTAAGTGTTATATATAAATTCTTTTACAAAAGCAAGTCCCAGATTCTCTCTCTAGCTGTATCTCTTATTCTCTTCTACACATTCCTATCCATGCCGCCACAGCAAGCAACTTGCAGTTTTCTGAATGTATCATCTTCCAATATTCCCTTTCGATCTCTTCAGATATTTTCTTTCCTCTCCATGGCCCATCTTATTGACCTGACTAATTTCTTATTCAAGAGTCCATTAGGTATTAGTAGCAAAAGACAACTACCAATGGGAGAGCCCCATGTACCCCCAACACACTTTTGCATTTCATTAGCAAGTTAGAAGATATGTCATTGTCTATAAATGTTAAGAAACATTCAGTTGAGAGAGGTGCCAAGTTTTAGGGTAGAATTCCAGTAACAGTTAACATTGTCTTACAGAAAAGCTTTTCCTCAACCACAGCCTGGAGGCTGACTTCTGACCCATTACCTCATAAGTACATGCCATTGGTCAGCAGGGGCACTGGTTGGCGTGGAATGACTCACTTAACCTATCACCACTACTAGGAAACCAGTTCCAACTACATTTAGCTTAGTATGATAAGTGGAATCAACCACCTTGTTAACAGAGAAATTCTGATGTTTTTGGAGTCAGGCTTACATAAAAGTTAGGGAGCCTCATTTTGAGAGAAAAGTTTGAGGTCATATGAACCTTTTAGTTCATAACTAAATGTGCCATCCAAGGAGAGAGTGCAGTTTTATTTAGAATCTTAGGTACATAATAAGCCTTATCCAAGCACTTTCAGTAAAGATTGTTCTGTTTTCTTTTTTCTTTTGAAGATAAACATACTTTTTTTTAAATTAACGTTAGGTAGCAAGACAAACTCATATGACTGTTAGAAGAACTAATCTAGACATAACTAGTCTAAATCTGTTTACTGAGCAAAAAGCAGAACTGAAGTTGATATATGAATAAATAGTGATCATGAAATAAGGTGTGGTTTGATTGGCTTGTGTGTGTAAAAATTTGGAAACTAAAAAGGTTTACGTCATCAAGGGGAAGAAAGTGTGGCAGTTTTCCTCAAAAAATTACTATCATAAAATTTTAGTATATCTGTAAAAGTGAAGAAAATATCTGGTAATTGCTATATGAATATTATTTATTTGATACTTCTAAGTAGCTATTTAATTATTTTTTAAAATCCAAGTTTTTGAAAATAACAATGGTTCTACATAACCAGGAATTACTTCTGTTTAATTTTAGTTTAGCTAAAAACTAGTTTACATGCCACTGAAATAAAAAGACATGAAAAAGTACAATCACATTCAAAAGAATTTAAGGGAGAAAAATGGAAAATTTTAATCAGTCGTTACCCAAAGATCAGTCTGCTTTAGTTTTTGCATTCAGAAACACAGAACAGATAAAATTCTGTTTGAATCAATGCTTAGATTTTCTTACCAGGAAAAATTTTGCCCCTTTCCTGTCTGTGTTCTTACAGTTGTGTCCCAGAGCAAAGGTTGCAGTTATTACCTAGTAATTACTACTTTTGTAACTGTAGGTTATGCAGACTAACCTTTGGACCTGCCCAGCAGGCAGCAGGAGATGAAATTCATGATGATTAAGACTCAGGATGAGGCAGGCTTTAGAAAGAGTCTGCTTGGGAGGAGGTTCAGATTCTGCCCTGCCACTTTCTAGCTGTGTAACCCTGGGTTGATGGCTTAACCTCTCAGTTTCCGTAAGAGAAAAATGGAAAATAAGAGTTCATGTCCCCTGCCCCCAAAGACTTGTTCAGACTAAGATCAATAATGATGTAAGCACTTAGCACAACTCTGGACAAGCAGTAAATGTTTAATAAATGTCATTGTGATTTATGAATGTTTTAATGGAAGAATATGTAGCCAGTTCTAAACAGTGGATTTACCAGGCTTTTGGGTCATAACTTGTTTATAATTCTGTAGTCGCCTGTATACTATTACGTTTTCAACCGACATATTTCACATACACAGAGTACATTATCTTTTTAAATTACACCCTTTTTTCCCATGGTGCTGAAGATGGGATCCAGGGCCTTGTGCATGCTAGACAAGTGCCCCACCAACTGAGCTACATCCCCAGTCCAAGAACAGACTTCTGAAATTTAAATTCACTTGATCACACTTGTTATCTTAGTGGAGTGTGCAGTGTGCAGAATAATGATTTGCTACAGAATACATATCATTGAGTTTAAGTTACTTTGAGGGCTTTGAACCCAACGAGCTCATCTGACATTTGTCCTGTAGATAGCTATTCAAAGGACTTTAAACTGTCCTCCCACATGGTAGAGACTACTCTTAGTGGTTGCCAGAAATAGAAGTACCTACCTCATTCCATTTACCACTGAGACAAGAGGGGATTTATTATTTTTGAAAGGTTACTGGGAACCAAGATAACTTCTTTTTACAATGTATACCTAGCAATTTTCCTGCTCTCCGAGGGAATCCCTTACCTATCAATGTTCTTCATCTGCTTCCTGCAGTACAGCCACATAATGGATTGAAGGTTGGGTTTGAACTGGTTGAGGATAGACTAGATCTCAATTCCACAACTGGAAAACTCTAAAACTAGGGAGTTTTACTGGTTCCATATTTTTTTTTTTTTTAGTATTTGTGAAGCAGGTTCTCCATTCAATATATTTGCTAGTCCTCAAGTACTTGCTAGCAGATACTGTGGGAGAACTTGATCACAGAGTGAGACAGACAATAGAAACTGCAAAGAGGAGTTGTTAGAAAGCATTTGTGGTCTGTCAGTGGCTAGGAATCAATAGATAGGGTAGCTGCTGGGAAGTAAAAGATCCCAAGACCAGTAACATCTTACCAAGAATAACTGGCTTTTCTTTTTCCTTATATTAGGCATTAATTTGTTTCCTTAGTTGAAGGGGTCTACTTACCAAGACAAAGAACAGGATATACCTGTACCGAAGCATTTAAAAAACACCAGAACATCTACAATTTGAGTAAATATAATACCAAAACAAATCTCCCTTGAAATTGTATTTTTTTAGGTTGTGAAATTATTATATTTTTGATGACCCTAGAGCTTTTTATATGGTCAAGCGCAATCACAGTTCGGGAATTTTAAGTGTTTTGCTCTTCCCTTAAGACCACCTATTGCCATTGCATAGAGCACTGATAGATCACTAATTGATAGTACCATGTGACATTATAACTTTATTATGACATTGAAAACACATGGGAAAGTGATTTGAATGATGACTGCTGTACCCCTTTCCCTACCACCTCCTACTCAGCAAGAATTTTATTAACAAGGTTTTTGGCGCTTAATTTGCTTTAAATTGAACTATTTTAAGTGTAAAGAAAATGAAAAATGTTTTAAGCTCTTTATCTACATAGATATTTTTCCATAGAATGTTTATTTTGTTTTTGTATCCTTAGAGCTCTTTATCTACATAGATATTTTTCCATAGAATGTTTATTTTGTTTTTGTATTCTTAAAGTGGCTATGATTTTAAACACAAATATAAATCTTCCTTTTCATGTTCAGGATTACAG